CCCACACACACTAACACACATACCCCGAACTTCAGAAAGTGTCTTTTATCTGGGGACTTGAGTTGAGCTACCACGTCAGGACAGCTCCCAAAATCCTGCCCACACTCACATACACACTTCAGAGAGAAAAGGGACGAGTCTTTTGACAGTCCCAGTATCGACAATGCCCAAATCCAGCAATCTCTCTCTCTCTCTCCACCCCTGTCTGTCTCTCACTGCAGTGCTTATAAAGCAGATGAAACTTCTGTCCACTGCACATACCGGTGCAAGCAAACATGCATTGTTCAAACATGTATGAACAGAATACACATTGTTTGTTGCAAGAATCAAACCCAAGACCTGACAGCTCCAGGGTGGTTTAATACTAGATTCACTAGCCCACTCTACCAACTGTTGGCAGTTGTGTCTTTCAGGATAATAATACCCTCATCCACAGGGTACGAGTAAGTGGTGGACTGATGTAATGATAAATTCAATTAGCTCAGTCAGTTCAGACACCACATCTCGACCTATTTGCAAATACCCCCCCAGGGATAAATAAAGCATCTAAGAGAATCTAAGATATTGTCTGTAAACACTAATGCAACATTTCCGTACTAGATAACAAAAAATTAACACAGTCTTGAGAATTGTCTTTCAAACTCAACACAACTTCAAGACCAATTATATTTTATTTGGCAATTTCATTCATCATCAGATCAATTATCTGTCATTATTTTGGAACCGTTTATGTGCTTGGTTGCATGTGTGTATTATTAGATGTGTTACCTGGTATTGTCCATTAACCAAATCCACGGTGATAGTGACTCCATCATCAAGTTCTTGTGTAGTCATGATCTTAGAAAGCCACGTGGTGCCCATGTCCTGATCATTGATATAACTGAGTGGATGAGCATTTAGGTTGAGTCTTAAGACTCTGTCATTGGTGGTGTCCTCAACACCATTGGGAATGCAGTATCTGTTAATAGTGAAAGGTTTTAGGTATATTAACTATTCTATTCAATAGAAATGTGAGCATATTGGTGTAGACTGAACAGTAACAATAAAGGATGAAGGTTCAGAGATATAAATATAAAGGACAAAAAGCAGGTTCATCAACATAGAAAAATATTTATAATACTGAAATGTTTAAATATACAGTTAACTATTATATAAACACATAAGGAGTTCTTATACTATACCTCTCAACTAAAGGGTGTACTCTGGGGTGACTGGGAGGACAGCGACATTCTGACTGGACATGGAGCTCGGGGAGGAGCCCTGAGTACACCTCAACTATTTCCCTGTTAAAACAAGAAAAAACAGACTATATTTAACATATTTAATATTTAAAATGCGACAGTGAAGACAATATAATACCGTGCATAAACTGGAATAAAGAAAGGACCAGTTTAAACATTGCTTAAAAAATGAGAAAAGAAAAAAGAATACTGTTAATACAATTGAAGCTGTGATGATGAGGAGCAACAAAAATAACAGTCATGACACAAGGCCTTATAATAAGTGAAATTCTAAGATAAAATCTTAATGCACCTGTTGATGGGCCTTTGACTAAGCATTTAGGGCAAAGTGGAAAATCAAAGGGATAATTTGAAAACTCAATTTTTCATTTTGTCTTACCCCAATCTTGATGAGAGTCCTCACTGTGTGCAGTACATCACTGGTAAGCAAAACACTAATTGCCTTGTATTGAATTCTCAGGAAAATCCTCTGGAAGCAGTATGGATCTTAAGATGCAACGATTACCGCCCCCCCCCTCCTTTCCTCTTACCATCTTTCCCTTTATCACTCCATACTGCTCCTCTTTCCTTGTTGCTTTGATCTATAAGGTATCTATGTCTATTTCTCCTCATTTCTATCCCCTTTTCCCCTTTTTTCAATCTATTGGCCATCACTCCCCTCCTTTTCCTGTGCCAATCACAGTTCCCTTCCTTTTCTTTCATAACACTCATTTCCTTTGGTCCTTTTTTGATTCATTTATTAACTGTCTCTCTGCTTTACTCTATCCAACTCACCTGTTAGTCAGAGTGGCAGGATAAAATCTAAAGTCCTGCATCCGCCCAATGAACTGATTAGACCCTAGAGAGATGAAAAGAGAGGAGAAAAAAGTATAAAGAAGGTGTTAATGGGTTTGTACTGAAGGCAGTGAGTGAGAGGATTTCACAGTATTTAGTAGATTATCTTATCAGTTTCTTGATACCAGCTAAGTGAGGCTTGCACACAGCTGCTTATAATGGCCAGGTTCATGATACAAAGCCGAACAGGATCGACAACAGTCTACATTTCCTTCCACTAGAGAGCAGCAAGGCTTATAGGGACAAATTCATTAGCTTGGTTTGAGGCTAGGGCCAAAACAGCTCTGTCTAAGGATAACCAGGTATAGCACACTTGCCTCACTAATTTTCACTGAGGAAAAGCTTCACAGTGTTCACTCATTAGTTTGTTTTTAACTAAACAGATTATTGTCTGTAGATGGACCTTTATCCAAAACCACTGTCTGTTCTAGACATGTTAAAACATATTTTATAAATTCATTATAGATTAATCTGCCAACTAATTTGTTGATTAAGCCCAAGTCTTGAAAATACTTGTGTTGTCCATTTCTAAACCTAAAAAATAATTAGCTTACTATCATATAAGAGAAAGTAAAGCTGGAAATCTGGAGAGTGGAGCAACCAAATCTAAGGCATCTGTCTTGATAAATGACGCCATATGATCACCATAAATCCGCAAATCAATAATTATAATTTTTTTTAGCTACTGTATAATAAATGTATAAAAAAAAACGGAAGAGACAACTCTCTAAAAAAGGTGTCTGGCTGGTTTTGAGAAGAAAAGATCTGCAAAGAACAACCGGTGCCACGTGTATCAAATATGCCAAGATGGCAAAGTCTCTTCAAGCACACATAAACTGGAAGATCTCAAACATATGGGCACGATGTCCAGACAGACACGTGGGTGCTGGACAGCACACAAAAAACACCATCAAGCACATAAATGAACACAGTCAAGCCCCCAACACATCTCCAACCACAACCATACATACGTGACAATGTTGGATAGAACATAACAGTCCCACACAGATGTTGATGCTGGTCCAAAGAATCTTTTAGTGTCCAACAAACTTCTGTCGAGTTTGACAACAACTCTTAGAAGACAGCTAAACATCTCTAAGCATCGACAGAACCCCTGCCATGCCGAGATTTGTCTGAGTGTGTGTGTTTGTGTGTCTGAGAGACTTTACTGTGTCTATTCCAAAAAAAACATCCTTACTTTAGAGAAAGAGAGTGTATGAGTTTGTGTACATAAATGTGTGTGTATTTGCATTTGAGAGAGGCTTTGCCATGTTTGGCCCAACTACAATGTGAGCATGTGTGTGTGTGTTTGGGGGTTGGAGGCGTATGTGTGTGTAAAACAGGGAGAGAGTGAGAGAGTGTTATGGGATGTAAGTGTGTTAGAACAGTGTGTGGTTGTGAAGCCTAAGGCTTTGGCTCAGGATTTCTTTAGCGTGTGGAAATGGGATTATGCCTTCCTCTGAAAAGCACTCTCCCTATTGTTACTTGGATGATGCAAGGTATAAGCCTTAATTCTCTCTTCTCTGTGTAGGTCTCTGTATTCCCTCTCTGTGTTTCAGTATCTGTCATCCGTCGCTCTCAGTTTCCTCTTCTGTGTTTTTGTGTTGTTAGAACAGATGACAGTCAATACAAGCAACTAAGAGTTATATGTGATTTTTGTCTTGTTTTCTCTCTGTCCTTTACTGGCCCCGTCACTCTCAATATTTAAAATTATTGTACTATTTTTCTTTTACAATTGTAACCATTCAGAGGTCATTCCTGGTTGATTTGGTGAGACCCATGGTTACTGGTGGTTTACAGGTCCCAGGATTCTGGAGACAGCAAACACTCCTTAAGCAGCTAGTTTGTCAGAAGCGTATGTATAGTGCTTTCATCCAATGTGCTTTTAGTGTATCTGTTTACAGTGCAACCAAAGAAACTTATGTTGTTTTAATGGCCTTCTACTGGCTTTTTTCCATTGTGCCATAAACAACGGTGATCTAATTTCATGCACTGCACTGCACAAGTACTTTGGCAATATAACAATAGTGCACAGTAAGAGCAGTTGTTACCTCTCTGAAGAGTTGGCTGCTACTCTTCTTGTTTCATTAATCCCAGCAATATGTAATCCTGATCCGTTGTCAAAAATGAACATGACCATGTTTTGTTTGCTGTCAGCACTAACTTTGGTGACAAATACGAATAATCGTGTTTCCTGTGACTGCTTCACAACAAAAGCCACTCCATGCAGCAGCAGTAAGAGCTCTGACAGATATTACGGTATACATATTGTGAATTTGTGACCACTCAAACTCAAGTATGATTTCAAAAATATCAACCACACTACTGCCCCAAATCAGTTCAGTTTCAGTTCTTACAAGTTACTAATGATCTTATTATTAGCGGCACCACTTTTGAGCCAAGCAATTATGCTGTCCTTATCCCACTCTAAAAAATGTAAAGGTCCAGTGTGTAACATTTAGGAGAATGTATTGGGAGAAATGGAATATAATATTCATAGGTATGTTTTCATGAGTGTACAATCACATAAAAATAAGAACTGTTTGTTTGTTACCTTAGAGTGAGACGTTTTTATCTACAGATAGAGCGGGTCCTCTTCCATGGTGGCCGCCATGTTGAACTGCCATGTTTCTATAGTAGCTCTGAACAGCTCTAGATAGGGCCTTTTGCTTTTTTTCACAAGTTTCACAGCCACCATAGTTTCTCCTATACGTTTGCAAGGGGACGGTGAGGCAAGAGGTATTCAGTTAGTTACAATCAGCAACCTCACCCCTAGATGCCAGTAAATCCTACATACTGGCCCTTTAAAGCTCTGCTCCACAACTTCTTGCTGTACTTGAAAGACACACAGTTTTCAGTTAGCAGGGTCCCCTCCAAAAAGCAGACATAGTTGTTAATCAATACATCTGATCAGCATTCGCTTAATCAATCCACTGATCAGAATTCCAGACACAGCCCCCGGGTTCAACAACCACACACACACACACACACACACACACACACACACTCTCCCCCGAGCCAATCACTTGTATTGATCACCACCACTGATGTGATCTTCAGCTGATCAGATGCTACCTGCCGTGAACTAGGGATCAATGCCTGATAAACGAGAAGAAAAACACTCGTTTATCACCCTGGAGATGAACGGATATCATTTTTCTCTCAATTTCTCTCCTATTGACTCTGAGAAGGCTCCCAGGCACCACCAATCAATCACAGGTGTGTAGTTGAAGGGGATAAAGGCTGGGAGGAAAGTAAAGGTGGAGTGGTCCATTGACACCATATTTAGATATACAGACAAGATAAACTAAGAGGTAATTTTTCTGCACTTAAAGGAAAAAACAGACGGTGGTCCCTGTTAGGGAGGAAGATTGTAAATGAGGCTGATTTGAGTGTTCTGCTGCTGTTTTAAAAATTTTCAAACATTGACTACTGGTTCTTGATGATTCCTGGGCTGGTAGTATGGGAACGGTCTCCCATTTCAATATAATTTAGCACAACTTCATGTGTCATGTGTCAATGTTACTTTTGAGGTATTTGGTGCGGTACCACTGAGGAATCAAAGTATCTGGGAAATCTGGATCTAAATATAATATAATATATATATAATGTAATATAAAAAGAAAGATTCACCATTGGAGCTGAGTCCCACCCACATGGCACTATCCTCACTGATATCAGAGAGCCTGGCAGTCACAGGTTGTGTGTCGAATGGTGTCCCATCCTCCTCAAGCCCATCCAGGAATAGACTCGCACGTCTGTCATGAACCTGAAAATCAGTCAAAGTGAGACATAAGTTGGCGTTGACCAGCAAGAACTTTGTATTTACTGTGTATATTTCCAACTTTATAGTCAATATTCTCTATGGGAGCAAATTTTAAAGAAAGTGTCATCAAATTGTGAATGCTACACTGTCAACCAATCATAATTAACCACATCAAACAATACATCACTTTGTTTCCCTTTTCAGAGTAGCTTGAACATTTAATTAGGTTGAGGAAGGCCCAAGCATATTATGATTCATTTTTTTCTAAAAAAAAAAAAAAAACCCAAATAAACATCATAGTAACAAAGTAACAAAAGATGTACCTTTTTGCAGTACAACGATGATCTATTATTAAATCAACATTTATATATGCATGATTGGATACCACTAACAGTCTCCAAGCACCAGTGGAACTTACATACGTGTAAGGGAGGGGCCTGAGAGGCAGCTGCAGCAGTAAAGGCCTAGCAGCAGGTTACTGCGCTAACACACAACGTCTCAGGCAGAGTGGCAGCTGCTCTTTGTGTGCATATGTGCATCTATCTACAAAAGTGTATGCACAAACCATTGGGGTGTTTTTCCATATCTATGCATGTGGGTATGTGTGTGTGTGTGTGAGTGTGACCATGTGTGTGTGAATTATACATACAGCTAATCTTCCAGCTCATTTCCCCAGTAGCAGAAAGAGCCTCAGGCTAAACTGCCTCAGCCACAAATTAGCTTTCTGTTTGACCAAAAATCTCCTCTCCACTCCTTTCTGCTGCATGAATATTAAAAACTGCACAGCAGACAACACCGTCAAAGCAGGAGCAACTCCCTCTCACTTCAAACCCAGGCAGAAAGAAAGATACTTCCATAAGAGGGGCTCACCCCACCCACAAAAAAAAAAAAAAAAAACTTAACGTGCCCTGTCCTACTTTCTCCCTTTACCCCATCTCCATCTGTTTGGGAAACACACTGTGGGAGAACTGATAAACGTGAGTCTCCCTATCTTACTAAATTCCCCTTCTCCTTCTCCTTCTTCATCTTTCCTGTCTCTCTCCTGCTCTGGACCTCCTTGCTTTGTCCTTTCTCCTCCTCACGAGGTCATTTGATTCCTTCACCTTTTTTCTGTATTCATTTTTTTCATTCTCATTCTCATTTCATTCTCTCCCTATTTTTCATAACCATCTTTACTTTCTCTTCCCTCTCAGTCGACAACTTCCCCCTCTCATCTCTCTTCCTGTCTCTTTCCCTCATGTTTATCTTGCCCTGTCGCTCTCACTTGTTGTCAGCTCTTTAGGGAAGTTGAAAAGGTGTGAGGAGGGAAATAAGTCCAAGTCAAAAAACGCCTTTAGGGGATGAAGGCAGGCCCAGACAAGTGTCTGCCTCTCAGAGGATAGTTAAGACGCCCAGACAGACACTTTCATGATGGCTGATTGAAGACTGGCAAGCGCATGAGGGCAGAAGAGAGAGCGCAGGAAAGAATAAGAGTGGAAAAAAAGGGAAGAGAAAAAAAAGAGACAGGAGGGAGAAAAAGAAAAGTCAGAGAGCGGTTGTAAGAGAGGGAGCTAGAAGAAGGGCCCTCTTTAGGAATCTCTAAGCCAGAGCTGTGTGACTCTTGGGGAGATGTGAGGCAGTTGTCAGGCCTGATGTAAATGAATCCTGAAGCGCTTCATCCTCCTTAGCCGCCACGCGCCCTTTTGAAACACAGCCAACTCCCCTTTGTTAGCTTTCACAAACACTTTCCCTCCGTTTTTTCCCTTTCCCCATCCATCTGTATTTTTACCTCCTTCTTTCCGCTACCTCTCTTTGTCTCTTTTAGCCAGTGTAACTTCAGAGTTCTTTAAGAACAGAGGAAAAAAAGAAGAAAAGGAGTTAGATAATACTTCACTCTTCATAACTACTCTCCTTTGGACTGTGTCCACTAAGTCCAGAGTAAAGGAAATTATTACTTTAAACTGTACCTATCTGCTTCCCTTTTTTTCTTCTTTTTTTTTTTAACAAAGAATATGCATTTTGTGTAATGATGGTTTAAGGTACCATCATTGCATTCCTTTTTTCAGGTATACACTGAGCTAGAAATCACAAGTAATGATCACTAACTGCAGTTAATTATGTGATTAATAATTGTGTAATTTGGCAATATATCATGTAAGTGTCTGCTATATTTTCAATACCAATGAATGCCCTGGTGTTACATCAATTTATTTAATTCTACATGCCCAATAATAATCTTATAATGTGCTAGGTGCACCTATGACACCAAAGCTTAAGTTAAATCTTTCTTCAACAGTTGTGATTGCAATATCTAAAAAATAAAAAAAATCTTAAGATAAAATATCCATAATAATTCCATAATCATGCAAACCTAGGCTACAGGACAGTAATTACATAGACACCTGTTCTGGTGTTTATTTTTTCTGCTGTTTTGCCCTTCTTTACAGCAAACTCACTGATATTACAATCTGAATTTGACACTCTGTCACATTAAGATTAAAGCTGAAACTGGAAGGGAAGACGGATTCAGCAAGGTTCAATCCTGGGTCAGCTTGGATATTGAATCTAAACCCTGCACCACTTGTGCTCCCTGCCACCATTCATGACTCCATTAGTACCTGGCCTTGTTGCCTATGCTCCTTCAACATTCCTGCAAAGCCACAATTTATCCTAAAACTAACAACAGGCCCTAACAGCATTTTTACATGACCTTTTTCTACATTGTATCATATTATGTCAATTTCAGCTACAGTTATTTTATGACTTTTCTGTTCTGTGATAGTTATAAACTGGTCAATTTACCTTATCATCACCTATAGGGAGTGCTACAGGTGTTTTACCTGACTATCAAATGAAATATACTACAAAATATTTTATTTCTTCTTCTTCAAGTTACATTATTTTCCTTTCCTTATTAAACAATTTCCTTCAACTGTGTTCCTAAAGGTTTCTGTGCTCTTAGGGAGTTTCAAGCACCCTTTCCCTGTGCAAAGCCCACCCCACTGGCAATGTTACCACCTAAGCCTCTCTAAAAGCCCAGGGAAACCCTGAGTGGGAAAGCTTTTAGTGATCTGTAGACTGGCATTTTGACTAAAGCTCTTCTCGATTTTCACACTCCTGCCAAGCCATGGCTCAGTACACAGTGTGGACAGCAGTGTTTCTTCTAAACTCACTTTGTAGCTGTGGGCCACAAAAGTAAAAGGTGGTAGAGAAAATATGAATAAATATTAGTTTAAGTAATTTAAGTAGTTGAAATAAAGTTGTTACTTTTGTAACCAGCATGCAAAAAAAACAGTTGTATAGAAGTATCTTACATATTAACAACCTATTGCGGGCGCCCGGTTAGCTCAGTGGGTAGAGCTGGCGTCCCATGTACCGAGTCCTTGCTGCAGCAAAGATCATCCTCTCTCTGCCCCCCTTTCCTGTCTGTTTTTAGCTGTCAATATCATAAAGGCAATAAAAGCCCCCAAAAAATACTTTAAAAAAAACAACTAAAAACGTATTGCCTTTTAAAGGTTATAAAGAAAATAAAAGGAAAATTCAGCTTTTAAACCTTGTATACATCACTAGAATTCTGTATTATGTATAACTGACTAATGTATGCCCGATTACCTGCTTAATTAAAGTGGGATAGTTTGTACATAGGAGATATAGACTGGTAACAGCTAACCACAAAAATAGGTATGGTAAAGAATTAGATGTCTGTGGGCTGCAGCGACAATTCCTGATGACCTGGGTAATTTCCCATGAATCTGATGCCATCACTCAGTGACACCACCATACTGAAGACATGACAGAATATTCTGTCCGTGTCATTTGAAAGTTAAATTATCAGCAATGTAAGCAGATATATAGCTTTCATATACACATAAAACTGTTTGGCTGTCACAGCCTGTAAGCTGTTATTTCAAAAACTCAGTTTGGGAGCAAATAACTCGTTGTTGCCATAATAAAAATGTAGGGGCATTTCAGACAGACAGCTGTCATGCTGCAGCCACAGACTGAAGCTTTTCAATTCATCATGGTACATGATAACCACAACACACAGAAATGTACCTAAATAATTGTCATTACCCTAAATTGCTAGGTGTTATCCAAACATCTGACATGTTGCAGACTTAACAAATACACGTTTTTTTAAACATGGAAAAGAGCTATCTTGACAGCCTGAGGTCAAAGTAGGGACCTTAAGTATGACTAATGCTGGCAACCACTAGATACATATTTTACTGCTGTCCTATTAGTCTGTTAAGTGCTTAAGTATCGCAAGGCTCTACGCAGGAGCTTAATGTTATGTGTTTGTGTGTGTGTATGGATGCAACACACCAGTTTACACACACCGTGCTGTCCCTGTGTGACCTTTCTCACAGAAGATGCCATTTCTCCCATCACACATATTTTTCTCACTCACTTCATTCTGACCAGCTCCTCTGCTCTTCTCTAAAAATTACATTTTTATTGACACAACAGAACAAATTGAATCAGTTGGCATTTACATACTAACCTAAAAAGGTGCAGTAAGTGAATACGTATGTTCATTCAAACTTAAGTGACTTAATACTATATAAGGAGAGCAAAACAATTAAGGCAATGTTCTCAGTTCTCTTTCTATCTAGTCAACCCCTTTATCCCTTCTTCTCACATTCTCTATCCCCTTGTTTGTTTCTCTCTTTTCCTCTCTTGTTGGATACTTCCATCCGTCAAATTCTGTTTCTTTCCTCTCATCACTGCCTTTTCTGTCTATTCTGTACATACAAAACCTACTGCACGTTTGTCCGTCTTGAAAGAGGGATCCCACCTCTGTTGCTTTTCCCGAAGTTACTCCTATTTTTGCCCTGTGAGTTTTCCCTTATCAAAAGTAAGTATCTAAAGATAGAGTGTCCTATGTTATGCAGATTGTGAAGCCCTCTACGACAACATTCAATAAAAATGTACTTTTCATCATCTTTTAATCCATCTTCTTCTTCTCTAACATCCTAGATTCACAGTTTCTCTACTCCTCCTCTTTAAATCTTCCATCTTTA